TGGAAAACAGCCTTCAAAACTCCCTTGGGTCAATTTGAATATCTAGTGATGCCTTTTGGTTTAACTAACGCCCCAGCCTGTTTCCAAGCCCTCGTGAACGATGTCTTCAGAGACTTCTTAAATGTGTTTGTGTTCGTCTATATAGACGACATACTTATTTACTCAAGGAACCTTTCTGAACATAAAAGACATGTCCGCCTTGTGTTACAGAGACTACTGGAGAACAAGCTGTTCGTTAAAGCAGAGAAGTGCGAATTTCACCAGTCTTCAGTCACCTTTTTGGGGTTTGTGCTCGAGGGCGGCCAGGTAAAACCATCTGAGGACAAGATAAAGGCTGTGTTGGAATGGCCAGTTCCAGAGAACCGAAAACAGTTACAGAGATTTCTGGGCTTTGCAAACTTTTATCGTCGGTTCATCAGGAACTGTAGCCAGACTGCCCTTCCCTTAACTTCTCTGACTTCTGTCAAACGCACTTTTCAGTGGACTCCCGAGGCACAATCTGCATTTGAAAAATTGAAATCTCTATTTTCCAGAGCCCCAGTGTTAATACAGCCTGACCCTGCTAAACAGTTTATCCTCGAGGTGGACGCTTCAGATTCAGGTGTTGGAGCGGTCCTATCCCAGAGACTTGATTCGGATCTAAAGATCCATCCATGCACCTTTTTCTCCCGTAGACTTTCATCCGCAGAGCAGAACTACGATGTGGGAGACCGTGAGCTGTTGGCTATCAAATTGGCGCTGGAGGAATGGAGACATTGGCTGGAGGGAGCTGAGCATCCGGTTCTTGTATGGACAGATCACAAGAACCTGGCTTACATCCAGTCAACCAAGCAAGCCAATCCCCGTCAATCCAGGTGGTCCATCTTTTTCTCACGGTTTAACCTCATAATTTCCTACAGACCCGGATCCAAGAATGTGAAACCAGATTCTCTCTCTCGTCTTTACTCCGTCGATCATCCTGAGACACCTGAACCTATCCTCCCGGCTTCCTGCACTGTGGGAGTGTTAAACTGGGAGATCACTGACCTAATCAACTCCGCCCTGGCTACAGAGCCCGATCCAGGTAACGGTCCAGCTAACCGAACCTATGTGCCTTCTTCTGTCAGGTCCCGTCTCATCCAATGGATGCATGCTTCCAAGTTTTCTGCACATCCGGGGGTCAGTAGAACCGTCGCCCTAATCTCAAGACGCTTCTGGTGGCCAACCCTCCATAGAGATGTCAAGGAGTATGTGTTGGCTTGCTCCACATGTGCCCGAAATAAAGCCTCACATCAGCCTCCCTCTGGCCTGCTACAGCCACTTCCGGTTCCCTCGCGCCCGTGGTCTCATATAGCGATTGACTTCGTCACGGCCTCCCCGTTTCTCGAGGTATATCAACTATCCTCACCATTGTTGACCGTTTTTCGAAGGCTTGCCATCTCATCCCCCTTAGGAAACTTCCCACGGCCTTCCAAACAGCCCAGCTCCTTGTTAAGCACGTCTTCCGCTTACATGGCATCCCCCAGTAGATCCTCTCGGATCGAGGCCCTCAGTTCATATCTCAGGTTTGGAAGGCATTTTGCTCTGCACTCGGTTGTAAACCCTCTCTGACATCTGGTTACCATCCTCAATCCAACGGACAAACAGAGAGGATGAACCAGCAGCTAGAATCAACCCTTCGTTGCCTCACATCCAACAACCCAGTCGACTGGAGCCAATATCTTACATGGATCGAATACGCACACAACTCTCTCAAATCAACTTCTACGGGACAATCTCCATTTCAGGTCAGTCTGGGCTATCAACCTCCACTTTTTCCCGCAGACGAAAGTGAAATCTCGGTCCAGTCTGTCAATCAGCACATCAGACGCTGCCAGAAGATTTGGAGAGAGACCACTACTACCCTCAACCGATCTTCTGAAACAACAAACGCTTTGCAGATTCCAGGAGACGTCCCGCCCCCGAGTACTCTGAAGGCCAGGAGGTATGGCTGTCCACTCGAGACATTCCCCTCAAGGGGATGTCTCGAAAACTTTCGCCTAAATTTATAGGTCCCTACAAGATCTCTCGAGTCATCAGTCCATCTGCCGTCCGTCTCCAACTGCCTCAGTCTTTCCGGATTCACCCAACCTTCCATGTTTCTCAAGTTAAACCTGTCATCTCGAGTTCTCTGTGCCCACCGTCCGACTCCCCACCACCCGCCCTGGAGGTCGATGGTCATCCCGCCTTCACCGTTCGACGCATCGTGGACTCCCGTCGACGAGGTCGCGGCTGGCAGTACCTCGTCGACTGGGAGGGCTACGGACCAGAGGATCGCCAGTGGGTTCCGGGCTCGTACATCCTCGACCCTGCCCTTATCGAGGAGTACGAGCGTTCCTGCCCTTCGACCTCTTCCGGACCGCCAAGGGGCGGTCGTTGAGGGGGGGGTACTGTTGGGAGCTGGAGAAGTTCCACCTTTTTCCAGCAGAGTCCGCCGTGGATCCTTCTGAGTGAACCTCCTGCACAGCTGCAGCCCATCAGATCATCAGAGGATCCACTATATAAGCTGTCTTCAGACCTTGCCTCAACGCCGCAGTGTTTATCCAGTTGGTCAGCGCCTAAGCCTAGTCTCTCTGTGAATCTTTGTGACTTTGAATCCAGCCTGGATTCTAACCCTTGTCTCTGTCTTCCAGGAAACCAGTTTCTCCTCAGTGGAGCTCAGGAAGTGCTAACCTGCCGAGCCGACCCTCCGAGCCAAACCTGAAGAACCTCAGTGAACTCTCATGCAGCTCAGGACTAAGAGCTGGAAAACCCAAGGCCCAGGATCTACTCAGAACTAGATGTAAGACGCTGAAGCAGCTAGCCGACTCTGCTGATAAACTCCTCTCCAGATCCAACAGTGACCCTCTCAAAGTTTCCTACAAGAACCCTCAAGGTACAATCAGTAACAATCAAGAAAGCAAGCTCCAGAATGCATCGCTAACTGAACTGTCTCTCACGCAGACTCCGGTGAACCAGTCTCCAGGCCCGAACCAGAACCAGTCAATCAGTGTGCTTGTGCTTAAATAAACTTGTTGAACTTTTACTCCAGTGTCCGTCTAGTGGTGTTCTGCATATTTGGGTCACCTCTAGTGTACCCATCATGACAAGTCTGAAGACAGGTCAGGCAAACAGATCAGAACGGGAACAGGCAGGCTCAGAAGACTCTCACCAAGGGCTTAAATAATCAGGTACCGATGACTGGAAGAAGGCAGGTTAAATAGAGGCTGGAGCAGGAGAAACAGATGAGCAGTAATGTGAAACTGGGCGGAAGTAGGCATTTGAATGAAATGAGTGATCAAGCTTGTCATCAGTGCCAAAATCATGACAGTATTGCTCATATTTTTATAGTAATACATTTTTGCGTTCATTTTTATTTTCCTATTAATATTTTTATTTATTTAGCTTTACATAACAATTATACAAGAAACAAGTGAATGCCAGCGGTATATGAGGACATTAGACAGGAGAACTCAAATGCAGTACATCATTGCAAAAGGGTTGAAAACAAAAACAAATGAATACATTAAAAACTTTTAAATAGCTCAACAATATATTTGGTTTTAACTGCTTTTTGGTTTTCAAGCACCTTTATTGCAATGTTGTTTTGTTTACATTCTTTTTGCACTCCAAATTAAATTGGGTCTTCAATACAAAGGGAATGTCATTGTTTACCTAACAGCTGATTGGCTGCTGGGTTGAGTGTTTTCTAGGATTCAGATCAATCCTGAAAGCTAGCCTGCCTCAGAGCAGGTTTGCGGTTCATAGTATGTTGCTATGGTGACTAGCCTCACTAAGAACTAATCCAGCTTCATGGTACCAGAAGGTCTAGGGTTAAACCAGAAGTCGTCTCACTAACCCGGTGATCTTGCTTCGTGGTACAGGCCTCGGCTTCGTGGTACAGACCTCTGATCTATATGACACCATCCATGGTGCCAATTAGACAACAGGTGTAAGTTACTGAGGCTTTCAGGTGAAATTGGAATTTGAAGATTATGGCAAATGGGCTGTGTCTTTTTGGCACTTGGAGAACGTTCTGTTGGATCTGAGAAGGATCCACAATTTAATTCTCTGACTGTTTTGGGTTCTGTTTAGATTCAGTTAACTGAGGGTCAGTGAGATATTGCTGACATGGAAAACATGTAAATAACAATAAATCTTCCCCAGTATTATTAAACCCCACACCTCAACTGTTAATTTAATACTGACTTCAGGCCATTATTTTAAAAATTGCAGCTCTACCAAGTCTACCTGAATTGCATTTTTAATTAAAGAACAAACTTTTCTGATGGATCTATCAGAAAACACATGGAGCTGCTAGGAGGCTAACCTGACAGCAGGCGACATCTGTGACTCTGATGATGTCATCCAGAATCTTCCCTCCTCTGAGGTTGAGATATGAGACAGAGGGAGGCGGAGCTCTCTTGGCTGCAGCTCAGGTGGTTCAATTTACAAACAGCACCTGAAAGCACCTCATAGATCCTTCTCATGCAAGATGAGTTACTTGGAACCAATATCAGTGACTTTGATTGACCAATTAATTGATTGGTTTTTGCTGTAAACAAGTGAAATCAGAGTAATGGCAGTTCTGTATTATCTAGTTCAAAGAGCTACAGCTCAGTTAGAACCAGGTTTAAATCAGTCCTGATTTAAACCTGTTTACCGAACCTGGAACTGTTTCTCAACACCATCATCCTTACTGTCGTTGACAGTTTTTCTAAGATGGTCCATTTGTTTCCGCTGCCCGAACTCCCATGTGTTTAAAGGTGGATTAGACTACATTTTCCATTTCATTAATCTCTAAAACGACAGATTTTCCTCTCCAGGATCTGCTTCTGAGACCAAACTGGTTATTAAGGGTCTGGTGGTCGAGAGACCTTGTTTAAGATTCTTTGGTACCCGGCGCTTTAGGAAGAGATCTGTTCTATAGCAGAGTGAGAGCTCTAGCTTGTTAGACCTATCTGTGCAGAAGGAGGTGGATAAAAGCTGCAGCATTACCTGCTGCATCCCAGACTCAAACCTGGACCCACTGCTTAGGTTGTTCTATAAGTAGTTCCAAAGTCCAGTTCTCCTCAGATCCCTGCTAGGACCACCTCAGCAAGCTCCTCAGATCTCCTCCTCCGCTCTGGTTCTGCTTGGAGCTCCAGAACCAGGCGGTTTGAATGATCTGAGATGCCGGTACGGATCCCGGACGACTCAGACTTCTCCTCTTTTAAGGACCAGTGTCTGAGTCCAGATGGATGGAACAGCCGGTACAACAAGGGAGGAGTGACAGTTTGGTGTCGGGAGGAGGACCGCAGCTCGGTCCAGAAGATCAAGGTGAGTCACCTGAAGATCTTCACAATAAAATCTTTAGAAACATTTCACTCTAATCTACAAGTTTATCCAGAAGAATATTTACTTGAAAGAACTTTCCTACTGGTTCTGTTGTGTCTGTCTGTGTGGGGTTTTGCGGAGTAGGTGCAGCAGAACTGGACAAAATCAGTTGGTTCTTCTTGAACTTGAATCCATCTGATGATGATGATGATTTGATTGAACTTGCTGCATATGTATGTTCCTATAGAGCTGGGTTCTACTGGGTTTCCTTTTTTTCAAGATCATCTGCTTACCAGGAAACATCAATGTTGGAGCTAAATTGGAAAAGGAAGCTGGGGATAAAATGAGAGGAATGACATCATCGGTAACTGAGTGACGGATGGAAACACCTCGAACCGGACCTGAAACCTGATCTGGAGCTTCTGGTACCAGGGAAAACCCAGTCCAGTTTCCAGTTGGTTGTTTTTTTTCTGAAGCAGTTAGACTTTTTTTTTTTGCCCGTTTCAGTCAAGCAGACTGTTGTTTCTATTTTCAGCTGATCTTCCAGAACCCCAGTTATGAGGATCTGCTGTGTTTGAACTCAAACATTAAAGCAGTGCTGTTTCCATGGTAACAGGACATGTTTGATATATATGCAGGTATCCCTGCTGTCGATACACTGTGGATAGTGTAATCACTGTCTACATCCAGGGGATCGTTCAGGAAGCCTAAGAGCTTCCTGTCTTACTGCTGGTTCTGGGAAAGTTCATCATCTTCACGGATCTAAGTCACAGCTCTGGACCTGCAGATCCGTCTGCTTCTCCTTGAGCATCTATGTAGTGCAGCTCTATGTGGAGAGGTCAGGACTTCCTTTAATCTGTTTTTCCTGACTGAGAAGATGTTCGATTATAGAGGTCTTGCTACAGAGCTCAAGCTGTTAGATTTCCTGATGGAGAAACTGGTTTCGGAAGTTCATGCTAAGGGAGCATTTAAGATATTTTGTGTTCTTTTTTGTTCTACCTTAATTTATCATTTTATGATAAATTTTTAATTTTTATGTTTAATAGTGATTATAAACCACATCCTAACAGATAATACCACAATTCTTAACACAAGAATTCTTCCTAACCCTCTGTATTGTATAGTTAGAAATTACCTGAGACCTGCTGAACCCGGTGTTGTAAACACCTGAGTAATCTGCAGCAGCTGACTGATGAACGAACAAAGATCCGAAGCTCGGGACATCCTGAATGATTGATGCCGCCGCTGAGCTCTGCTGATTGAGTTACACAGATCTGATGACCGCCGCTCAGCCGAGCCTGACGTTCCTGGAAGATTACAGGCTGGAAAAGTTGACGTCCTGCAGATATCAGCCGCCGCCCATGGTGTCCGGTAGCATGTGAGGAAGAGGAGGCTGAAGGCATGGAGGAGACCATGATGCTTTTAAAGGCCCAGTTATCACTCCCATCTTCATCACCGTAGGGGTATTTAGGTTATCAGTATGCCCTCTGAGATGTTACAGTTTTTAGATGGACCTTGAGTTTAGTTTTATCTTCATTTGACGACATCACCTGCATTATGTCCTTTCTTCCCTCCTCTGGATAAGGACCAGTGTTGCAGTCAATGATCTCCAACAGGGGGCGCTCTTACTATAATTTTTCTTCTTTTTTTTCCATTTCACCCCAAAGCTCTGCATTGGAATGCTTTCAGCCTCCGATTAGTTTTTTCTGATCCTTCTCTGGAAGAAATGTTCAAAAGTTGAGCTCAGGTTAGTTCTGCTGTGAGAGAACTTCCTTGAGGATTCATCCATGGATAGAACTCCATTATTCCATCTGAAATCCTGCTTGGCGTCTGTTCGGTGTCCTCCAATGAGATGCATTAACACTTTACAAAGTGAGAATAGGGCAGGAACAGATTTCTGGATTATAAAGAACATCAAAGTGAGAGATTCAGAGAAGGAGCTTCAGGACATCTAATATGTTTCTATAGAAGGGAGCCACATGCTGCCTACAGTGCAGAGCTTGATCAACATTGACAGCAGGTTACTGTGAGTGCATCTGAGCTTTGTAAATGAAAGGTGTTAAAGTTGTTTAGTATCCCTGGTTTTCATATCAGACAAATTGATTCTCCTTCTGATTGAAACATCTGGATGTAAAAAATCTGAGAGCTACTGTGATCTTTATTTTATTTTTTATCTGGTGCTGAAAGTGAAGCGTCATTATTCAATGATTACCTCTGGTTGCGTCCTCTCCAAGGGGTGGGCTTCCTTCCATTCTGCTCTCTAACAGAGATAAAGACTTGGATCAATATTTCCAATATTGAACGACTCTTTCCAGTCATTCAGGAGCAGTTTGGAGATTATCTGTGGGTTCCTAGCTTTACTGAACACTGGCTCCCAGGGCTGAAGTTAGAACAAGCTGAAAGTTTAAAACATTAAGATTTTTGACCCATGTTCAGGAAACCTTATCTGAATCCGACTGAGAACCTGTGGTTGGCTCCTAATAATGTTTTTTATCTGGAGTTACAGGGACTCACTATCTAGTTTTGGGTGTTTCTGTAGATTCCTTTATTTTTGTTGATGTTTAGTTTCTTCTCTCCCTGACCTTATTAATGCTGAGTGATTCCATCTCTGGACTTCCATCTGAGCCAGATCACCTGACACCATCTGATCTGCTGGCCTGCCTCTGAGCAAGGCAGCGTTTCTGTGTCTCTATGGGAAAGTTGATCTTTAGCCTTCACTTTCCTGCAGAACCGAACCACATCACAATGTTTCAGATGACCCAGCTGCTGGTCACATAACTGGAAAGGGGTGGAGGAGCCACCTGGTGGATGGGAGGAGTAGTCTACAAGAAGTTTGTTTTCCATCTAACTGATGATGGTTCTACTTCTGGATCACTCTGAAGAACTGGAGCTGGTGTTATTCCCCAACAGAAGGTTTGGGACTGTAGATTTCCGGATCTTCATTAAAAGTCATTCTTTTCTGTCTGTGTTCCAGATGAGGATTGTGTGCAAAGACGTGACGGCAGAGACGCTGTACGACGTCCTCCATGACACAAGCTACCGTAAAAAGTGGGACACCAACATGATCGACACATACGACATTGGAAGACTCACGGTCAACACAGATGTGGGATATTACTCCTGTCAGTACCAATGCACCCACTCTATGCTCATCCGAGAGGCCTCAGCAGCCTGTAGGAATCTGTTCATCCTTCCTTCAGATCCAGTAGAGCTTTGATTTAAAGCAATAGGGGGTTCAGTCATAGACCAACTCATATTAGAACCAGTCAGACATAATTACAGTGTGACTTGAAACCGAGGCCAGCCCTGACATTCAAGTAATCCAATTAGAGGAAAGTCTCATCCTGGTTGTTTGTTAAATTAACTTAAAAAAAGGAACAACTGGCTTAAGTAGAGATGCCTTTCAAATTGAGCCAAAGTGGAAGTATGTCAGTGTTCTTCTTAATAAATGTTATCTAAATAGTGGTGGCAGTAAGAAATTAGCTAGGAAGAAAAAGCCAGTTGGTTTCTAACGCCAATTCAGTTAGCATAACTCACTAGCTGATCCGTCCCGGAAGCACGATCTGTAGCATCAGCGCATCCGCAACCAGATATACATCCGGGTCTAATCATATTTGACGGACCATTCTGAGCATGTCCGATGATGACGTTACAAAAGCAGTTTAACAGATATGTAAAAAGCAGCAAAATTATAAAACATTATTTAAAGATGTGTATTAGCATTATTTAATGAGTCAAGGGCAGAAATAAATAATTTTAGTACCATAATTACATGAATTTGGGAACTGTGATGTATGCGGAAATTAGCTGATGGTACTGATCATGCTTCCGGGATGGATTGGGTAGTGACAATAGGGACCTTCTGACGTTCTCAGCCACCGTAAGCTGTAACACGGGGCCCACAATTGTTTGCATTATGACCGAAAGGCACAGCTCACCTCACAGAGTTTAGCAAAAACATATTATTTCTTCATATTACTCTTTATGAAACTTGCTAATGAACTCACCTTTGTATGGTTTGGGGTTTATAACGGGGAGCTACAGTAGTTCTCTGTATTTAGACTTAGACAACATTTATTGTAATTTTTTATACACAGTGTATAAGAATTTTAGTTTTGTACAGCTTTCAGACAGTAAATGAGCAGCAGCTTAGCAGTGAAATGAACATTTTCTTTTCATAAAGTGCAGCGATGATCAAATTTAAACAGTGTGGGAGAAAAATCATGGTGAAATAAGGAAGTTCAGAGCATTTCAAGACAAATATATATGGTACAAAATAATATGGAGTATTTTAGTTTGGTGTTATCAGTGTGATGCACTGTGTGATGCAGTCTGTGACCTGATTTAGAGTTTTTTTTTTTTTACAGTTCAGCAGACTGATGGCAGTAGGGAAAAAGCTGTTACATTACCTGCTGTTCCTGCATTGAATGCTGTGAAGCCTCTTTCCCGAGGGCAGCAGGGAAAACAGCCCATGGTGGGGGTGTGAGGGGTCATCGATGATATTACAGACTCAGAACACGCAGCGCTGGGAAACTTTCTGTTTTTGTAGTTCTTTTCCTGAAGGCTGTAGTCCCAACTTGATCAGCATTATTAATCTGAATGCTCATTGCATAATGATGTTTGTGAACCTGAGCTTGTCTAGATTCTGTTGGGAGCTGGAGGAGTTCCACCTTTCTCCAGCAGAGTCCGCCGTGGATCCTTCTGAGGGAGCCTCCTGCACAGCTGCAGCCCATCAAGATCATCAGAGGATCCACTATATAAGCTGTCTTCAGACCTTGCCTCAACGCCGCAGTGTTGATCCAGTTGGTCAGCGCCTAAGCCTAGATTCTCTGAGAAACCTTTGACTTTGAATCCAGCCTGGATTCTAACGGTTGTCTCTGTCTTCCAGGAAACCAGTGTCTCCTTCGTGAAGCTCAGGAAGAGCTAACCTGCCGAGCCGACCCTCTGAGCCAAACCTGAAGAATCATAGAGAACTTCCATGCAGCTCAGGACAAAGAGCTGGAAACCCCTAAGCCAAGGTCTGTTCATTCTAAGACATGAGACGCTGAAGCAGCAAGCGGACTCTGCTGATGAACTCCTCTCCAGATCCAACAGTGACTCTCCCAAAGCTAACCACAAGAACCCTCAAGGTACAATCAGTTATCTTCAAGAAAATCAAGCTGCAGCTTGCAACGCTAACTGAACTGTCTCTCACGCAGACTCCGGTGAACCAGTGTCCAGGCCCAAGCCAGAACCAGTACATTCTGTGTGTTTATACTCAAATAAACCTTTTGAACTTTTATTCTTGTGTCCGTCAGTGGTGTTCTGCATACTTGGGTCGCTCTTAGAGAACCCATCATGACAGAACACTGCGGCCAAACTCAAGGCCCAGCAGATCACCTCACTCGTCGATTGGAGGAGCAGGATGCCCAAATTCAAGGACAAACCCAAACGCTCCGTGAGTTATACCGCCTGGTTGATACTCATAACCATATGCTACAGAGTTATGCTAATTATTTGAACCGCGCTAATGCTGCACCAGCACCTCAACCATTTCCGGGTGCAGTTCCACCTCCGAGGTCACCAGCAGTGACGTCATCAGAGTTCCGCCCAGGTCTTCCAGAAAGATTTTCTGGTAACATGAAAGATTGCAAAGGATTTTTATTTCAGTGTCGTTTGATTTTTCAGAACTCTCCAGGCAGTTTTTCCACAGATTACAAGAAAATAACCTTCATCCTTTCTCAGCTAACAGGAAGAGCCTTGGAATGGGCTCAGGCAAGATTTGCCACCAACGATAGCCCTAACTGCAATTACTCAGACTTCCTCTCTGAATTTACTCAGGTATTCAACCAAGAGACTGATCAAACTATTGACTCTCGAGCTCTTTTCAATCTTAAACAGGGAAATTCTTCCGTGGCTGAATTCTCCATCAACTTCCGGGTTAAAGCGGCAGCTTCCGGATGGAACCAAAGCGCCCTGAAGGGAGCCTTTTTCATGGCTTTAAATGAACACATTAAGGATGAGCTTGCAACCCTCGACGAACCAGCTACCCTCGAAGATTTAATTCGCCTTACCATTAGATTGGACAATAGAATCCGTGCCAGAAACAGTTCTAAAAAGCAGTGGACACTTTCTCCTGCCTCACATAACATGACTGTTTGTTCTTCCTCTACAGAGCAGCTGCCCATTCAGAGACCTAAGTCCCAGTCTCTACCGCTGCCCATTCAGGCCTCTCATTCGGGTGAAAGATATGTCGAACCCATGCAGGTGGGACACACGAGGCTCACCCCAGAGGAGAGACAAAGACGTTTTCTAAGCAAATTATGCATATACTGTGGTGAGAGTGGACACTTCATCGCTTCCTGCCCGGCTAAATCAAAAGCCTGGGCCCGCCAGAGGATCTGAGGAGTCTGGCGGGCCAAATTAACACTAAGAAATCTCCTCGACTGTTACTTCCTGCCACGTTGTTTTGTGCTAACCAAAGCCTTTCTTTTTCTGCATTCATCGACTCAGGCTGTGAACGGAACTTAATCGATTCTAACCTCGTCCAACAACTCCAAATTGAAACCATTCCTCTGACTCAGCCTCTTAGTGTTTCTGCTATTGACGGAAAGAGACTTCACCAAGTTACCCATCAAACTCAGCCCCTCGAGCTACTTCTGTCAGGTAACCACCGAGAAACAATAACATTTTTTGTTTTTCCTTCTGCATGTTCCCCTCTGGTGCTTGGTTTCGAGTGGTTGGAGAAACATAATCCTCACATTAATTGGACAGAGCGTCACCTGGAATCATGGTCCATCTCATGCCACGAAACATGCCTCCGTTCAGCTGCCCCCTTGGTGGGGTCTCCTAGAGGTGGGGGGGAGATGGACTCTCCTGACCTTTCTTCTGTTCCTTCCGAGTACCATGACCTAGCTCCTGTCTTCAGTAAGGTCAGTGCGACGTCCCTACCTCCACACAGGCCATATGACTGCGCCATTGAACTTTTACCTGGCGCACCACTACCTAGCAGCAGGTTGTATAATATCTCCAAGCCTGAAAGAGAAACCATGGAAAAATACATTAATGAATCATTAGCTGCAGGAATAATCCGCCCTTCTTCCTCTCCTTTGGGCGCCGGATTCTTCTTCGTTGGAAAGAAAGACGGCTCTCTGAGACCATGTATTGATAACCGAGGTTTGAACCAGATCACAATAAAGAACAAATACCCACTTCCTCTACTCGCCTCTGCATTCGAGCCTGTTCAAGGAGCCACAGTTTTCTCTAAATTGGATTTAAGGAACGCATATCATCTTCTTAGGATCCGAGAAGGAGATTAATGGAAAACAGCCTTCAAGACTCCATTGGGCCAATTTGAGTATTTGGTAATGCCTTTTGGTCTAACTAACGCTCCAGCATGCTTCCAGGCCCTCGTAAATGATGTTCTCAGAGACTTTTTAAATGTGTTTGTCTTCGTTTACATTGACGAGATACTCATTTACTCCAAGAACCTCGATGAACATAAGAAACATGTCCGCCTTGTGTTACAGAGACTGCTGGAGAACAAGCTGTTCGTAAAGGCCGAGAAGTGCGAATTTCACCAGTCTTCAGTCACCTTTTTGGGGTTTGTGCTCGAGGGCGGCCAGGTAAAACCATCTGAGGACAAGATAAAGGCAGTTTTAGACTGGCCAGTTCCAGAGAACCGCAAGCAGCTGCAGAGATTTCTAGGCTTTGCTAACTTTTATCGTCGTTTCATCAGGAACTATAGCCAGACCGCCCTTCCATTAACTTCTCTGACTTCTGTCAAACGCATTTTTCAGTGGACTCCTGAGGCGCAGGCTGCTTTTGATAAATTAAAATCTTTATTTTCCAGAGCACCAGTACTTATGCAGCCTGACCCTGCTAAACAGTTTATTCTTGAGGTGGATGCTTCAGATTCTAGAGTTGGAGCAGTCCTTTCCCAGAGACTTGATACGGATCAAAAGATCCACCCTTGTGCATTCTTCTCCCGTAGACTTTCTTCCGCCGAGCAGAATTACGATGTGGGAGACCGAGAGTTGTTGGCCATCAAGCTAGCATTGGAGGAATGGAGACATTGGCTGGAGGGAGCTGAGCATCCGGTTCTTGTTTGGACTGACCACAAGAGCCTAGCCTACATCCAGTCAACCAAGCAAGCCAATCCTCGCCAATCCAGGTGGTCCATTTTCTTCTCACGGTTTAACCTCATCATCTCCTACAGACCCGGATCCAAGAATGTCAAACCCGATTCTCTCTCTCGTCTTTACTCCGTCGATCATCCCGAGACACCTGAACCTGTCCTTCCGGCTTCCTGTACAGTGGGTGTTGTTAACTGGGAGATCACTGACCTGATCAACTCCGCCCTGGCTACTGAACCTGATCCAGGTAACGGTCCAACAAATCGAACCTATGTACCATCTTCCATCAGGTCCCGTCTCATCCAATGGATGCATGCCGCCAAGTTTTCTGCTCATCCAGGGGTCAGCAGAACAATTGCTTTAATCTCAAGACGCTTCTGGTGGCCCACCCTCCATAGAGATGTCAAGGAGTATGTGTTGGCCTGCTCCACATGTGCCCGTAATAAGGCCTCACACCAACCTCCTTCTGGTCTGCTTCAGCCGCTTCCAGTGCCCTCGCGCCCTTGGTCCCATATCGCCATTGACTTTGTCACCGGCCTCCCAGTTTCTCGAGGTATGTCCACCATTTTCACCATTATAGACCGTTTTTCGAAGGCCTGCCATCTTATACCCCTTAGGAAACTTCCCACGGCCTTCCAGACAGCCCAGCTCCTCATCAAACATGTATTCCGGTTATACGGCATTCCCCAAGAGATCCTCTCGGACCGAGGTCCTCAGTTCATTTCCCAGGTTTGGAAGGCTTTCTGTTCTGCTCTCGGCTGTAAACCCTCTCTGACCTCTGGTTACCATCCTCAATCAAACGGACAAACAGAGAGGATGAACCAGCAGCTGGAATCAACCCTTCGTTGTCTCACCTCTACCAATCCCGTGGACTGGAGCCAATTTCTCCCCTGGATAGAATACGCGCACAACTCCCTCAGATCTGCTTCCACTGGTCAATCTCCCTTCCAGGTTAGTCTCCGCTATCAACCACCACTTTTCCCCGCAGAGGAGAGAGAGATTTCGGTCCAGTCAGTTAACCAACACATCCGCCGCTGTCAGAAAATCTGGAGAGAAACCATCGCCACCCTCAACAGATCTTCAGAGACCAACAAACGCTTCGCCGACTCCAGGAGACGTCCCGCCCCCGAGTACACTGAGGGCCAAGAGGTATGGCTGTCCACGCGGGACATTCCCCTTAAGGGGATGTCCCGAAAACTCTCGCCCAGATTCATAGGCCCCTACAAGATCTCCCGAGTCATCAGCCCATCTGCCGTCCGTCTCCAACTGCCTCAGTCTCTCCGGATTCATCCAACCTTCCACGTGTCACAAGTCAAACCTGTCGTCTCTAGTTCCCTGTGCCCACCTTCCGACTCCCCACCACCCGCCCTGGAGGTCGATGGTCATCCAGCCTTCACAGTTCGACGCATCGTGGACTCCCGTCGACGAGGTCGTGGATGGCAGTACCTCGTCGACTGGGAGGGCTACGGACCGGAGGATCGCCAGTGGGTTCCGGGCTCGTACATCCTCAATCCTGCCCTTATCGAGGAGTACGAGCGTTCCTGCCCTTCGACCTCTTCCGGACCGCCAAGGGGCGGTCGTTGAGGGGGGGGTACTGTTGGGAGCTGGAGAAGTTCCACCTTTCTCCAGCAGAGTCCGCCGTGGATCCTTCTGAGGGAGCCTCCTGCACAGCTGCAGCCCATCAAGATCATCAGAGGATCCACTATATAAGCTGTCTTCAGACCTTGCCTCAACGCTGCAGTGTTTATCCAGTTGGTCAGCGCCTAAGCCTAGATTCTCTGAGAAACCTTTGACTTTGAATCCAGCCTGGATTCTAACCGTTGTCTCTGTCTTCCAGGAAACCAGTGTCTCCTTCGTGAAGCTCAGGAAGAGCTAACCTGCCGAGCCGACCCTCTGAGCCAAACCTGAAGAATCATAGAGAACTTCCATGCAGCTCAGGACAAAGAGCTGGAAACCCCTAAGCCAAGGTCTGTTCATTCTAAGACGTGAGACGCTGAAGCAGCAAGCGGACTCTGCTGATGAACTCCTCTCCAGATCCAACAGTGATTTTCCCAAAGCTAACCACAAGAACCCTCAAGGTACAATCAGTTATCTTCAAGAAAATCAAGCTGCAGCTTGCAACGCTAACTGAACTGTCTCTCACGCAGACTCCGGTGAACCAGTGTCCAGGCCCAAGCCAGAACCAGTACATTCTGTGTGTTTATACTCAAATAAACCTTTTGAACTTTTATTCTTGTGTCCGTCAGTGGTGTTCTGCATACTTGGGTCGCTCTTAGAGAACCCATCATGACAGATTCATAAAAGCAGTAGCTCCTATTCTACCCTGAATAGAGTTCTCACTGTTGAAGCTGTCAAATGTGAAGGGGAAAAAGGAACAGGAGAGGGCAGCAACTTTGTGAGGTACTTGGACTGAGCCATTATGTCTCTACGTGTACTCTGTGTGATACGTCCTTATAAACACAGCTTGACGTTTTAAGCTGTATAATGGAGACCTACTGCTGGTCACTACATTTGTATAACTTTGTTGTTTATTCTTTTTCTAAAAGCTATAGTAGCCAGCGGCAGAAAAAGTATCCAACAGTAGTACTTTAGTAAAAGCATTGATAATCTTAATCTTACTTAACTACAAGTAAAAGTTACTTGGTCAAACATCTACTCAAGTTAAAGTATTGAAGTATCACTTTTTAAAATACTTGAGTCTTTAAAATTACATACATTTAAAAGTAAAAAGTAAAATACATTTTTCTAATATCAGTACATTTCTGTCTAATTTTCAAAGAAATAAAAAAAAAACTTGTAACTTTCAGAAACTACGTGATGTATTGATCAAGCATAGAAAATGGCTTAAAAAATAAGGAAAAATATTCTGATTATTATTTCTTATTTAAAAACAAACCAAAAGGAAAACAGGAGTGTCTTAATCCTCCCAATACATTCACTGTGAAATAGAGGTTTGAGGTTTTCATCTATGACCACAAAGAAACCACTTCTCTGATTTAAGAACTCATCCTACTGCACAACTTGGTCACATGGAAACAACTAAATCCTTAATAAAATGTATAAACTACAAATAATATCTGCCCCGAGTTTTTACATTTGTGGAATGTTATGCAAATCTCTAAAACAGTGGTGTCATAATTCAGTCCCAAGGACTGCCATCTTCTTTGTTGAAACTGCAACAGTGGATTACAAAACTAAGTTGAGCCTAAAGGAACAAGTAACTAGCAGCTTCCTCGAAATAGATTGGAGTAGAATGTACAATATTCAATTTTGAAATGTAGTGGAGTGAAAGTTAAAAGTACCACCCCCAAAAAAAATATCAAAGTAAAGTCAAGATAATCAAAAAAGTACTTAAGTACAGTAATCAAGCAAATATACTTTCTTACTTTCCACCACTGGGAGTAGCATCATCTGTGTGCTTTACTTACATGTTACAATGTCTGTAAAGTTGTAGGTTGTCTGTATTCAGCACAGCATTCCCTTCCTACCTGCATAGTATTCTTACTGTTAATATCCTGAAGGGTGAATGGATAGTAGCTAGGAACAGGAGCTAGGAAATACAATTAGATATTTGAAAGCAGCCATTCAGGCTTCTTTTAAATAACTGCTATGCTGCTGCTCCCTGCTGGACAATATATCTGTAGATTACTTTATTCAGCTTCAAGATGTCTGTTTATCAATCTAGTATTTGGTTTGTGACATAAAAGCACCTGATTTTTGTAGAGATGATGCTCAAACTTGAAAAGAAAATGGAGAAAAACAGATTCTGTTTTGATTTATTTTTGCACGATGAAGACGTTTTATTTTCAAAGCTGTGAGTCAGTAAACTGGTCTCAGGTCAACAACACATTTGGGAACAATGTGGCCATCAACTCATCCTGGAGTTCCCACAATCTGGGTCTCCCTTGAGTGTGACAGGCAACCTGAGTTGATGTTGAGTGAGGGCTACAAAGAATACCTGAAGAAAGTAAAGGAGTATCTTAAGGATTAACAGAGGAAAAAACATCCCTCCCTGCCTGTGTGTAGTGTTGGAGAGGAGCATCTCACTTGAAGTGAGGATATTCCCAAGTGTTGGAGGGAGCATCATAAGGATCTCCTTAGTCTAGTTGCTATGTCTGCCATGAGAGAGTCTGAGCTCCTGTTAGATGGTGGGGCCACCACCTTGGTAGAAGTTGATAAACAGTTAGGAGCTCCTTGCTGCCAGGGCTGAATGAGTTCTGTTCAAGATGAACGGGAGAATTTTTAGGTTTTTTCCCTCTTGGAGCTACTGATGTGGTAGATTGTTGGTTTGTCCTTTTTAAGTCATTGAGAGCCTATGAGCGCGTCCTTTGGATTTTGGACGGTGGGGGGGCAGAAGATGACTGAATGTTGAAAACATCAATGTGAGCTGAATGAATCATTTCCTTTTATTTATTTCCCCCCCTGGCATCTCTCTGAAGGGAAATGCCCGACTCCTTTGAAGAACAGAGATTTTGTGACGATGAGGTCTTGGCTTCCTCTTGGCAGCGACTACATGATCATCAACTACTCCGTCAAACATTCGGTCAGTGTCTTCTGCTGCTGCTGCTGTTGATGATGGGTCCACTTACAGAGAGATCAGTTCTTTCAGCCCACTTCCTTTTCTCTGTAGAATTCGGAAACATCTTTAAAACCCTTTTAATACTGCAGATAGATTTCATTTTTTTGATGTTTTTTTAAGTCTGACAGCTGCTGCTGTTGTTGTAGAAATAAAGACGGAAAGTCACCCTTTAAAGGTAAAACTCCCTGTCTGTTCATCTCCATAGCAACATCCTCCTAAGAAAGACTACGTCCGAGCCGTGTCTCTGCTGACGGGCTACCTGATCCAATCCAATAGTGCCACCAGCTCCACCCTCTACTATCTCACTCAGGTGGACCCTCGAGGTGAGACAGCAGATCTTTATTCTATTGAAGTTTAGATTCAGAGCTCTGTCCTCTGAGAGTTAATCCTGCCCCCTGGTCCTCTGCAGGCTCTTTACCAAAATGGGTCGTTAACAGAGTTTCTCAGTTCGTGGCGCCGAAGGTAAAAGTCTGAGTTCCTCCCACAGAGTCTTTATCTGTTCCCTGTCAAACATTGTCTGTCCATCTCTGTCCTTCCAGGCCATGAGGAAAATCTACAAGGCGTCCCTGAAGTACCCGGACTGGAAGCGGAAACACAACCCTACCCTGAAGCCGTGGATGTATCCGGAGCAAAACACGCTGCCCTCCATCAGCCCGGCTGATCTAACGCTGCAGCGAGCCGACTCTTTGGAGAACATAGATGAGAGTGGCGTAAGCGAAGAAAAGGCTCAGAACAGCGAGGACGAGGAGACCTAGACTTTCCTCAGACTCTAACCAGGACTGACCTCTTACTTGCTGGAAATGTTTCCCACCGACAGTGAATGGCTCACAATCCTTCAATTTCTGTCACTGTAATCCTCCTGGACTTCATATTGACCCTGAGATCCTGTGTCCACACAATGACCTCTGACTGTCTAAAACCTGTTCTCAGCCTAACCAAAGGCTGTGCAGGCCGTTCTAACATTGTCTCAACCCTTTTCAGAGACTTTCCTTATATTGTTCACAAATGGCTTTCTTGAAATTGTCAAATGAAGGACCTCTGACTACCCAAATGCTCTTCACACTGTCTGTTCACCATATACAGACTGACTAACGGCGTCCACAGCTTATATAAAGATTGTTTACAGATTTTCCTCTATGGTCTTAAAGGTTCAGTATCATGCTTTTTTAAGCCCTCTATAGGGACCTATAGGCAAATAAACCATTAAATGTTCCATTTGGCCGTATTTATTTGGCATAAAATATTAGTGCTGCTGCTTTGTATAACCATTGGCCGGTCTAAACGGGCCAACGGGGATCAGAACCCCTGCAAAACTGGGCCCCTGGCCCATGTACTGATGACCAAATCAATGTGTTATTATGATATGTGCTGGCACAGCAGCTATCTGATTGGTCTCTTGCACAAATTGTATTATTATAAGTCTTATTATTTGAAAATTACAATTAGCACCATTAGCTTTAGCCGTACTGAGAAAAGATCAGGGCCTCCTTTTGGCTCTCACTCTCTTAATATACAATTTCCCTGGATTTTTTTTTTGCTTTATGCAGTCTTGTTAAAAACACTGGCCTCATCCTAGCCCCCCATTAAAATTGGGTTTAGAACTGTCACTGTGGATAAATCAAGCAAAGTACCACATTGAACATTTTATGATGAGGGAATAGCTTTATAAAATTAAAACCTCAAAAACTTGACTTCGCGTGACATGGCGCCTTTAAGGCTGTTTTCAGATTGACTACAGACTTTCCCATTCCTTTCCTCTTCATGGGTCTGTTTCTGATATTTTAATTTATACATTAATCCCCCCCCCCCAAAAAAAAAAAAAAAAACGTTTCTGGTGCTTCTTCCATCTGTTTTCATTAAGCTTTGTTAAGATTTTATCATTTTCTGAAACTGTAGTTTCATTTCAGAAAGATAAAAACATCAGGATTTTATGTTTTGATTGTCTTTTTCACATTAAATCCTGATTAAATAACGTATAATTTTCTTGTTTCGATTTTTTGCTGAATCTCAGTAGGAATGTCAATGTTTCATATGTCACACTAAACTGAAATCAATTCCTCATTAATTAATATAATAAAACATTTAGAAACCTTTTTACCTTAGATCAAATCCAACTATGGCTAATGTTGAGATGAAAAGGTCAATACGTGTGATCAATAAAGCTTATTATAACTTCTTCAATGTGATTTATTTATGCATAACTTGGTAAGTTTCATCAGATCATTCCATCCCTCCATCATTTCCAAAATCTCAGCAGGTAAAACAACCAAAAGGCTGATGTCTCACCATACAGCACATGTAAAGGACCCTCTTCCCTCATGCAACCTGTTTATAGGCTAAAGAGTTTAATCCAAAGAGCCATGAAATGTGACTAGATTGTGGTTTTATGACTAAATAAAGCAATGGTTGGATTTTGAGATAACTTTAAATATGAAGCCACTAATAAATCTAAAGCCACCCACCTTCTACCAATTGACTTGGCATGTGGCTGTGGTCATATCAGATGAACCTCAGCATTCAGAGTGTTCTGTTTTTCTTCTGATGCCCTGCAGATATGTGAGAAATCTGCCTTAAGAGGAAAGCTATTATCTTGCTTACCAGTCAAGTGCAAAAGCTGGCCCACATGTTTAAATAAAGATTGAATGAATTCGTAAAACCAGCCCCATGTTTCTGCAGAGCTTTAAGAAATCGTCTACAATGATTGTGCGGCTGCAGCGCCCTCTAGTGGACACATGTTGGAGAAGGAGACTTTCTGCAGCAGATTTAGAAAGAAAAGTAAGATGAAGGAAAGAAAGCTGAATGAATATATAAGAACGAATAAACCTATACAAAGATGTCCTTTTTTGCAATACGGCATAACAGTTAGTTATCAGAGAGGTTGTTCCAGAGATAAGTTCTGACCAACAACCATTAAATGTACTCGGGCCCAGAACCATTCTGCATTTGCAGACCATCAACAAGATGAAAGTTTAGTTCTTCTCTAAGTTAAAATACCTTTGTTTCTTTTCTCTATCTTTCTTTCAATACAAACTTCCACAGCCTGAGATATAGCTTCACCAAAACAGCACAATGCCTGACAAATATCTTTGCCACATTATATACTATATATTGTGCAAATAAATTATGACTTTTATCCATGCATATTCAAAAAATGTATAGGAAAGGGGTAATTGATAGAATTATAAGAAATTTTCTTTAAAGTAAAAAGTGTGTGTGGATTTTCATTTCGAATTAATCACAAGTTATTTCTTATATATCTTAATCTTATTATAAAAATAATTAATGTTGAGCTGGCTCCAAATCTACCTTCAAATTTGTTATTCAACTGTTATATATTGGTTTTTGTGTTTTAATTCCAAAAAGTCTATTCTTTTAAAATCCATACAGAAAACCAAAATATAACATGAGACATTTTTTTTCTTATTAATTTTTTTAGCAGCTACCTTCACCCACTGCCGAGTCCAGAAAGCCTTTTTTTCCATATGTCTATGCATGACCAAAACACACATGGATGATGAGATTCAAATCTGAGAGTACAAACTTCCAGAAGGCTGGTGAAGATTCTTAGTCATCAGGTCATAGTCATTCCATAAAAGTTAGAAAACAATCCACTGGACTTTGTTTACCAAGTTTGAAGACGTTTCGCTTCCCATCCAGGAAGCTTTTTCCATTCAAAATGTCCAAATTAACGTTAAGTTCCAAACTTCAAAGAGTTGCCCCACAAAGCCTTGTTTCGGCTTAGAAAGAATTGAACCGAGAAACAGATCCATCCCTTAGTAATGGGGAGTCGTTGAAGTGTTTGTTTGTGTGCAATACCTGATAATGGTCTATGCCTCTGAAAAGGGCAGTCATTTAGGGTCATTGTTGGCCTGGCTGGCCAGGTGAGACGTCCTTGTCCCCTGCATGGTGATGAGGATTGAGATGATAGCGGGAAGGAATCAACTCTATCGCTGCGTTGTAGGTTTTTGAGAGCTGAAAGGTGAGTCCTTTTACACCCCTTTCAAACCACCCGTCTACTTTGTCCAAAACATGAATATTCTGGTCCTCAAAAGAATGTCCTTTGTCGATAAGGTGTAGATGAAACTTCCATAAAAGAACTTCGAAAAGGCACAATTTGCACAAATATAGGTTACGTGAGATGTCACAGGCCCATTATCCACATGGATGACCAACAAATTATGGAATATTTGAGAGGGTAAGTGCTGTCACACATAAAGCTTCTATATGCACCGGATAAAAACATTACGAGGTCCCTATGCCAACAGCAATATAAAGCAGGCATCCTGCTTCCTCTTCCTACCTGCTTCCTTACTGCCAGGACTTAGAACAGAAATTATAATGGCAGAAGCTGACACTGTTCTGCTTTGGCTTAAGACTCCTTCCAACTGGAGTATTTTGGATTGAGCCCATTTAAAACAGAGCTTAGGATTTTCTTGTCTGGAGCTTGAATGTTCTCTTTGTGCAGGGGTTATCTCTAGGTACTCTATTCTCCCTCAGTCCAAAAACTGTTAAATCCACTGGTCTCTTTAAATTGACCTCAGATCAGATGTGTAAATGGAGGTCTGTCCTGTGTGTCTCTAGCTGATTCCTGATTGGGCTAATTGTAGCTCCTGGCTTGGTCATTGGTAAAGAACACCATATTGGAAAATAAACATTTTGGCTGAAACTGGACAGCTTAGCGGCCATCTGAATACTGAATATCAGTAAGGTTCTGTGTGACACATGCCGAGCTATGAGCTACAACTTCTACAATCTATTTGGAAGATTAGCTCTGATGGTGATCTTCTATAGGACCCGCCCATCTTTTACCCAACGATTGGTGAGGTATTAAAATTCAGCAGTTAAGATTAAGTATTAAGGGTTACGTACTCTTCGTCCCATCTGGATGGAATATTCCTTTTTTTCTGCACATTTTACTAATTCATAAGAAAGAAAAAGTTATGAGGTTAAAAAAGTTAAGACAAAGATAGTTAAGAAAATAAAGTGAAAATTTAGGAATACAACAAATGATATTTAAGAATAGGTTCAAGTTTGATTGGTTCTGTTCTATGCCTGTATTTTATTGAGATTATAAGAACCAACATTAAATTTAGCTATTGGAGCTGAAGACAAACCACAGGGTGATGTTGTTGGACACCTGTTCAACCTCCTGGAATGTGAGGTTCAGTGTAAGTGATGATGAGGAGGAGCTCTCTCTGCCCTGATGAGGAACACTTGATGCAAGTGTTTCCTCCGTCAGCCGCTGAGGAATGCAGCTTATTGTCTCAGTCGCTTCCTATTTCCTCTCTGCTCAGCCAGGAGGAAACTCCACCACCATCCAGCTCCTCAACACAGAGGACAGGACGCAGCGTCCAGTAGGACTTCCTCTGGACCAATCAGCTCAGGGATGGCTGGAAGAAACATTCATTTGCTGGTGATGAAGTTTAAGGGCGGTTCTGTTGGTCGCCAAAATCTATCAACACCAGCTCTGGTTAACAGATTAAACCTAGTCCAAACCAGTTTAGACCCAGGTTAAGATATGAAGACACTTTGTTACACCCTGAGAAATGACTCAAGCCAGTTAAATACTCATCTAAACCAAGTTTAGACCCAGTTTAAAACAAGAAGCTGTCCTGCAGGGACACCAGGGATGCTGCCTTTAGAATTCCTCCTGGATTGTGTTTGTTTAATCCGCAAACATAGAGCAATCAGATTTAGATTTCTGATTCTAGAAACATAAACCATTGGGATGTTCTTTAAAGCTCTTGTTTATTTTTAACAAACTGATAAAAGTAGAAAATAACCTGCAAGATGAAGAAGCCTGTCTGGGGTCAGAATGGTTTGTCTCCAAACTATAACAACCATAAATGGAATAATGAAATATAAATGTTTTACCTACTCCTTGGAACATCAGACACAAACGTTGTAGTTGTAGCTAAAACCTAAATTATATCTATAAATGGTTATACATAGGATTTAAAAATAATGTTTTATGCTCCTGTTTTACTGTATATGTTATGATTGGCCACAAAAAAAGTAGTCATAAAGGGATCTAAACCTTAAAAATGTATATAATTGTCTTT